GAGAGAGAGAGAGAGAGAGAGAGAGAGAGAGAGAGAGAGAGGGTCGAGGTGTAGGAATGCTTTTCGCGCGATGTTTGTGCTTCGTCTGCCATCTCGCCTGGTGTTGTGTTTTTCAGAACCGTTCTCGACGAACACGTTCGGTTGCTGGGAAGGCGTTTTCCTGCGTGCAAGGCGTCATTGCGCGTGTGAAGACTCCCAAGAACAAGAAACGAAGACATCACGAAACGGCCAACACCAGAGTAGCAACGAAGCTACACAAAAACAACGATGACGACGACGACGACATGGTAGATCTCGGTGCCTTTGGGCATGCCAAGGGCAGTACTGACGTATGTCGCTCTCAGATCTGGATGAAGAGGTGCGCGTGCGGCGTCAACGATATTCTACCAAACAGAACAATAACAACGTTACTGTCTCGTCGGGTATCCTATTTCGTTAAGCCAGCCGAGACTTTAGGAACTCCGTTGCCATGACTCGCCCACGGTCAACTTGTGCATTTTCGGATTTGCTCCCAGCTGCCAATATAGCTGCCAAAATCCGTAGCAAACTGGCCATTGCACTGCCCTCTTGCTTGACCATGCCTCTTGTCTTCTGTTTTCAGTCTACCGACGATGATTTCTGGGAGATCCGCGGGTGGGGCGGCAGCCTGTCCTTCAAGGAGACTACGGTAAGGAAGCAGTGGACTGACTCCACAGAGCGGTTTTTTCTTTCACACTATCAAGAGAGGAATTCCGAAGGTGTAAAAGGCCTCATGCGCGTAATAAATGGGGCGACGCAAACGTGTGCACGCACACACACAAACATGATTAGGGCGCATGATGTTGAGGCGAAGTTGGATTCGATACCGGCGANTTTGGGGGGGGGGGGGGGGTTGGCGGAGCTACATGGCAACTACAGGGTTGAAGGGTTGCGGATCGAAGGATGCGTGAGACACCGACCAACGGGGTACCGGCAGGGAAAAAAACGGGAACCAAAGCCGGCCACTTGTGTGTGCATTGTGGAAGAGGCGTATCGTGCCAACTGCGATCTATACAGGCAATGTCAGCCCAAACACGTTTGTTGTTTTCTCGCTCCGTCTCTCTTTTCGCTTGCGATGGCGTCAACACGCGTAGGTCACCTCTTGGGACACGGACAAGGGCGAGGAGAGGACCAAGTACGAGGGCGGGCGTTCTTTCATCAACTGCGTCACTCAGTTCGATGACAGCGACATATGGTCGTGCAGTGGCCGCTCCAACAAAGAGAGAGGGGAGTGCAGGATGGTGAGCGCACACGCCGCCGTCGGAAGCAGAGAAGAAACCGTCCAGTCAGACACATGCTTTCGTTTTCGGTTGATACTTGGAAAGGCGTTTGAGTGCGAAGGACGACCGTTTCCTTGGGAACAATCGAAACCCAGCGCGAGAAGTTTCTTTTGGACCAAAATCCGGCCAAGAGCCAATGCGTGCAGGACGAAACGTCGACTCCACCAAGAGAGGAACAAAAGAGCCCCAACCCATGCAAACGCAACAACAGCCTAACCCCTTCCACTGGAACAACAGCCTAACCCTTGCCCGTCCGTGTCGGACCAAGCATCTGCCTCGTGCACAAGGCTATGCGTCGATCAACTGAAAACATTCAACAAACAAAATTATGCCACCGTGCAGGACATCATCGACTCCACCATGGGCAACATGGGCTGGTTTGACGCGGAGTCTTACGGCCTCACGTGGAAGGTCCGCGGTCTGTGCACCGACCTCTCCAACTTGGAGATCATGGACGACCACAATGTCTATGGCGACATCAAGGGTTCTGAGATCTACGGTGCGGCTTGGGGCGATATTCGTCCGGTGTAGCGAGGGTTTTTTCCTTCTTGTTGGCGTTTCTCGCTTCTCGTCTTGTTTTGATTACGTTGTGTCTACACCCAGCAGCTGAGCGTTTGATGCTTGGTAATTTTGGTTGTTACCGTGGCGCCTCCGATTTTTTTGGTTGTTTTGGTTTTCGCGCTAGCAACAATATTATGACCCATAAGAAAACAGAAACAAGTACACAACTGTATGTTGAACGGTTGGTAAAGGTAGATGGGCCAAGAGCGGGCACCGGTCTCAGCTGTTGGGGGCAGTGGCGCCTTTGCGACTGTTCCTTGTCGAACCTCGCCGTCTCCCTCCCTCTCCCCTTCCTCCCCCACCCCAGTTCCCACACCAGGCCGCACAGACTAGCTGAGTTGGCCACAATGTCGACCCCGTTTGTCTTTTTCCGCCGCGTCCCCGTGGTCGTCGTGCCCCCTTCTTCCCATTGAGGAAGCCCGTGGCTAAAACCCACCATACGTGCACGTCGGTTTGTCTAGATGCGCTTGCAGTGCCTTCTCCACACGTTCGTGGAAGTCGGTTCTCGTGCGCGGGGCGCGTACTCGCCATCGTTGGTCTGAACTACCACGGTATTCGCGTCGTTTTTTTCTGTTTTCGTCTCCCACCCGCGCTCCTTCTACGCCGCTGTGTCTACACTCGCCAACTGAAAGCCTGGGTCACCCAAACGCCCCAACATGGTTGGCGTCTGGAGGGCGCTGGTGTGTACACCTTGCTCATGCCCCCTTGTCGCCGCCGCCGTCATCGGTATTGCATGTTTTTCTCCCCATCATTTTTGTTGTGATCAGGCATGTACTACGGCATGTACTCCTACGGGCACCAGGGAGGAGTATGGACCGACAACGTGATGCGCGACAACATCCTCTACGGCTTTGACCCTCACGACGACTCGGATGACCTGACCAGTAAGTTTCGGTCGCCGTCGTCGCGAGTGTCTGCGTTCACGACTTGGTTCATGGCGTCATGTCCCAGGTTTTTGCCTGGTGCCAGACTGAAATCGATTCATCATCCGCTATACTCACGGTTGGTTGTGACTGCTTCTGCGGACAAGGCCAAAAACTCTATCCTCATCACGCGAAAAGCGTGCGCTGCAACATTAACCCAAGGGCACGACATGCGGCGGTCACATCATGTCCGCATGTGCCCGCTTGTGCCGTTTGTCAATCCCGCCTTGAAGCGTCGTAAGGTGAGCCCTGCACCTTACATACCCACCAATTCTGGGTGTTTACCACGTGTTCGTCTTGCATTTCCCCTCTCGAGTGTGTACCGTCCAGCATACCAACCTACCCCACGTGTCCGTATTATGTTCTTTCTGTCTGGTCTGTCTCTCTCTCTCTCTCTCTCTCTCCGCCACTGCCTTTCTTTCTTGCCGCCCGTTCCTCCCTGCACACGCCACGGGCTACGAATTCCCATGGTGCTTACCGTTGCAGTCGCTGGAAACACCGTCTACGGCAACGGAAACCACGGTAAGCCCCCTTGCAAAAACAATCAAAACAGATTGTTCCTTGTAGTGTATGCCTACTTTGACGAGAGCTGACATGCTGCGGTTCGGATGTGGCAAAGATTGACACCTGACAGCCTCCCGATAACTATCATCCATAGTTTGGGGTTCTCGGCAAACTTGATGATGCGATGCCCCGGTGTACTGTGTAGTGGCAGATGGGCAACATAGTATCACGGCGTGGATGAACCACTACACCTGGAGGGTGGAAGCTGCAACAACTATTGAGCGACTATCCCGGTTGGCTTTTCTTGTGTCGGACAGGCATCATCGCATCCAAGCGCTGCAACAACGTGGAGATCTACAACAACGAGGTGTACAACGGAGATCAGGCTGGAATCTTCCTCCACCGCAGCACCGACGACGCGAAGGTTTACAGTGAGTTCTCGTTTGGAACAGGAACTACCAAGGAGCCTTGGCAGGGTTCTTCTATGCAGTATACACGTTGGGTGTACAGCATGCAATCGGGGAAGTTGGGTCAGGGATGGGTTAATGGTCTGCGCACCTCCTCCCGACTCTAGTCTATATTTCCTCATGCCCTGAACTTGATTTGTCGCGAAAGCGGTACAAATTCACCTGCCGTTACTCACCGAGAGCTTCCCGCCGCGAAGCATAAGCGTGCTACACACGGCACCCCCGACACTGCAAAGAATCAACGGTTCGTTGTTGTTCGTCGCAAGAAATATGGTCACTTGTTGAAAAAGCAGTGTTCCACGACGGTAAGCACTATAACGTTAGCTTCGAGCGAGTAGTGGATTCACATGTTGCAGTCAGTTCCTTCTCGGCTTGTCGGCACCGCAAGTCAGGTCACACTTGCCGTGTGCACGGGATTAACTTCTTGCACTATGCGGACGAAACCACCCTCCACGGCTGTGATTAGACAAAAACCATGCCTAGAGTTGGATGAACATTACGCGCACCCTTCCGGCGTAGAAGTGCGTTGCAAGCACGTTCGAACGTACAGGTGTCTCCACTTGGAACTAGAACAAAAAGGGCACAATTGGGGCATCATGTCGACTTGGGGGACGCCCAGACCCCTGGCATACGGTGGTGGCGTCTTTTGGTTGTCCGACGGGGGGCATCCACACATGACACACGCACAAGCACTCGACTGTTTGTACGTTCCAGGCTTTTGAGAATTGCGGCGTTTCCTCCCGATTCTCGTTCGCAGATAACTATGTCCACGACAACGGAGACGCCGGAATAGCAATTATGGAGTCGTTCCGCGCCGAAATTTACGACAACACCATCGAGAACTGCAAGTACGGCATCCGCCTCAGCCTGGGCAGCGCCGACAACGACATCCACGACAACACCTTTGACTCCTCCTCGACATGTGAGGAGAGGTTGCATGTACAACTGCCCTCTTGCCGTGTCCAACACGTCTTGTGGGAAGCGGCACTGAACCCGAACCCATGAGATGCGAGTGTTCCTGTGTATCTCGCCCGGCTTGCCGGGACGTCTCTCCAGCAAGACGGGGAAGTGGCGGCACGCATGATGATGCCTGCTGTTTGTGTCGCGCGCCTGTTGTTTTGCTCGTTGTGCGTGAAGGAAAAACGGGTTCTGATTGTGTTGCCGCTGGTTTGTTTGCTTGTTTCTTCTGCCTGCAATGTGTTGGTTGCTTGTTCTTGTTGAATGCATCAAGCTCGCTCGCTTCCTTCAGCTGCCCCTTACCGATGCAATCGCGAGTCGGCGTTGGACAGCCTTTCGTTATTTCCAGCGTTGGCACTTTTGCCACCCACAGTTAGACGCTGCCGCACGCTTCACCGCTCGCTCGCAACAAGGGGAGGGTTTCATTCGACGTTTCCAAGCCCCCCATGCTCCTGCGGGGGGGTCATCCCTTCCTGCGTTATTGCAGATTGACCGGATTCCGGACGGATTATATCCTTCCCAAAGTTTTCTTGTTGCTTGCCTACTTGGGGTATACGGCTTTTCCTACGCTACGAGCCGTTATTGCCGATGAGCTGAACTCTCAACACTCACGAGCTGGATTGCGTCATCACCGCTTCTTGTCATTTCTTTTTTTATTGGGGTTCAAGACGGCCTCTACACGTACCAGGGGAGCGACGATCCGGACGTGTCCGGCAACGACGGTCGCGTCAAGGACAACTCGTTCGACGCCAACACCATCTCCAACACCGATGTGGCCATGAAGATTAAGGAAGGAGATGACAACAGCTTCACCAGTGAGTAGGAAAACCCGGTCGGAGCGCCCCTTCTTATGTACTTGCTGTTGGGGAGTTAGCGAGAGCTGTCCGTGGATTGCAGTTCCCAAGCAGGGCCTTGGCGATTTCCGCGAACTGGAATAAAGCTATTATATTACAGCACTCAAAAACCTTGGGGAGTTCAGAAGTTCCTCGAAAAACTCAATCTAAGAATTTGAGCACTATTCGTGAGACCGAGTAAGAACCCCTACACTAACACCTAATCTATTTGGCGGTCACGTGTAGCCTAAGCGCAGGTACTAAGGACTTTGGAGGTTGTTGAGTGTAGGCGCTACTTTGTAAATAGCTGTGTATGCCCCGCTCGTAGGTTTTCGGCGGGACCCTACATAGGTGGGTTGATGTCTGTCAGGGAGGGCTTGCAAACTCGTGAAACCGCGTGGACACGTCCATGAAAGAGGGAGGGGGGAGAAGGCTTCCTCGTGCTGACGCTAGCGCCCGCCTCTACAAGTGGGGGGCGGCGTCTTGATGGCCTTTTTTGCGCGTATGGAGGCGCGTGTCAGTTGGCCCTTGCCGACGTTCTGTCGCCTACATGAATGGCGTGGCCCTACAACCCTCCATTAATTCATTGTTGTTACGAAAACACAACAAATAATAAATGCATTATCTTCCACTGATGAAAGTTTGGGATAGACTAGCAATCAATGAATTCATGGGTATTGTTTGATGATCAACCTGTATTTCTACGGTTCCCCCAAGCACAAAACAGCGAAATTGCCCAAAGAATGGTGTGGCAGACCCTTCACGTCGAAGACGACGGTCTCCGCCAACCCCGAATTAGTGTCCGCCCGTTTCTGTTTGGCTTTTTCGACAACGGCGATGACCTTCACAAATCCAGTAACATTGTGCGTCGTTTCCGTCCGCTTTGTCAGACAACATTTTCGTGAACGTCAAGACGTTCGAGTTCGAGGACTCGACCGACACCGTTTGGACTAACAACGATATCGGGGGCGGCTGCCTTGACGACAGCACAGACTTCGCCTCCGGCTCCATCCCCAGTTGCTGAAGGACCCCCTTAAGATGCGTGGCGCCGGCTACTCGACCGCTGCAGGATCCCGAATGATTGTGGCCAGCCGGCTGGTCTTTCCAGTTTTTAAGAAACAGGGAGATAGGCAAAACCAAGGCTTCGTTTTTGGTCGCGTGGACAGGAAGAGGTGTGGGGACGTGAAGACCCAGTCCTGAAGACCAAGAGCAACACAACCGCGACCGCAGCGCTTGCATAGTTGCTATGGCGTCTGTCCTGCCTACGCGTTTGCTGCTGCGTGTTTTGTTACCTCACCACTGCTATCAACGCAAATTCACTCCGATCGGGAAGTCTGCGCATTCGTTTCGTTGGGCAACTTCACAATTTTGGATGAGTTTCACCGGGGTTTTTTCTAATATTTATCTAGACTACATTTTTTCGTTTGTTTTTTTCTTCGTCGTCTCCTTTCTCTTGTTGTTCTTGAGCGATGCACGACTGTTCGTAGGTGGACTGTTTTACGTCTGATTCCCTCGTTCAACGTTTCAGCGTACACGCGGTGGGTGGAATGACTGCCGATCGCCCAGCTTCCCGAGCGCAAAACAGTTTCGCTGGTGTGTTCAACGGTCGGGACTGATTTTAATTGGATCATCGCGCGGGGATCGGTGATGTTGCATGTACCAGTGATGACATCGAACCCCCGTGGGATAATCACCCCCTTCGCATGTGGCGTTGTCTACACGAAGTACTCTACCAGACCGCATGCACCACCGGACCGGTGCAGCGGCCCACGGCTTCCAGATTGGACTTGGCGATCTTCCCGTAGGAGGGACGGAGCAAGTTGTTTTGTACCAGTATGATAAGTTCGTTCGTGAACTACCGGACGGTTTGCTGCGTTTCAATTTCCTGCGATCGTCTTATTCGGGGCGTTCTTCGGGATTTCGGCGGCGAGCAAAAGCGGAGGCAAAGCGCAGTATGCATATGTGTGTCACGCATACTACGAAGGCCGTTCATATAAAGTGTACCGGTAGTTGGTAGTGTAGGGTACTTCGTACCTTGTTATTCTTGAGAGTTTGAGCTCGTTATCTTTGTGTGTCGGTATGTCGCAACTCTTGGTGTTTTGTCGATGGTGTCAAGAAACCTCTACAGGCCGGAATGTGGTACTCTATTCACGTTGTACTGATAGCCAATTTATGATCTATTGTAACTTGTTACCGCGCGATAGAGGCTGGCCGACCGGCCGGTTCTTGGGTTGGATTCCTGCTGCCTTCTTCGATGGACACATTGGCTACAAAAACACTACGTGCGGAAATCAAGTGTAGGCACCGGGAAACTTAAGACGGCCTGTTCGATAGAGCTGAACGAGGAGGCTGCAAGAGTACCCAAAAGGACGAAGAAAGTGTTGGTAGAGGCCTGCTGTATAAAAGTTTGTAATGTGCCTGAGAGCACTAGTGGTCCGCCGCAGCATGGCTTCCACTTGATACTTGATCGACAGCGTCCACTTGACTGGCCGAACGAGGTCAAACGCAAAAAAATAACAAAAAGTGAAATCTTTTGGAGAGAAGTGCCGTCTTCGAGTTGGCTCTAGTAGGCTGAGCGGTTGGCAAATAAATTCAGTCACTCGCAGCTTTCCGACTGTTGACGTGCTTGGTGGGGTCCACTATCGGCGCAATCAAGCGCGTGCACAAAACCGTCAATTCTCGTGTACGCAACGTTCGAGGGTAGTAGCGTCTGAATCCTTTTATCAAGACATGCACGTCAAGGCAGAGCGATGTATGAACGGCACTCGTGTGTGGCCTTGGGACCCCATTTGGTGCACTTGTAAATATGGTGGATGTTTACAACAAGGCGTGCCGTGTGAATGGGGCGACACACAGCAGCCGTGCAGATTATTGATGAGATGATGCACGGCAAGAGGCAAGGCGGGAATGCCGTCGAGTTTCCCTTCGAAAGTCCGTTTAATGCCTCCTCCGCCTGTTGTAAAACTCATGACTAATAGAACATATATTCGATATCTCATTTCTCTCTTCATAACAAACGACGCCCTCAGTGACCAACCGGCTAGCGCGGGTATTGCGCGATTGAAGACACTTCGCTAGAAGACATTGACTGGCAAGGCACGCAATAGAAGGTAAATCAAACCACAGCCCGGCACCAAGTCTCCAGGTCGTCGATGAGCACGCGGGTTCCTCTTGAGGACGTCTAAAATCTAACAAGTATTTTCCGTCGAAGAGCACGCCAAGTCAGGCCACGTGTTCGTCTGGTACACGACAGACACTTGCCAAGCCCTTCATCAGTTGCGGATTGACGCCTATCCTTGTGCAAATTCGTCCGCCTAAAGGAAGCTACGCCATCGACAACACGAGCGACTACAGAAGAAGTCCCGCAACAGAGTCACCAAAAACCGAGACTCTGCTCTTGCCAATGACACTTCGACACTCACGTTCCGCAATGGCCAAGGAGACACCTGCATGTCGCGTACCGTTGGGCCAGACGGTACCGGGTATGTGCATCGGTCCCGCAAGTACACGAGAAAATGGACAAAAAACATATCATCGCAAGGATCCGGAACAAAGATATATTCTTGTTTAGGTAGCGCAACAAACAAACCTCATCATGACTTCCCACTAACAGTAAACGGTCTATCTGTATGTACATTTTTTTGACAACTCTCTGCGGATAAAGTTTCCAAAGACGCACGATGCACCACATCGTCACTTAAGTTATTGCGAGGCGGACAGACCTTCTTCGTGCCGCGCACGCCACGGTACCCGTGCACACACAGCGTGCTGAACATCCACCATCCTGTTCAAAGTTCAAAGGACGAGGCAGAGGCCGGTCGCGAGGAGGACGGTAGCGACACAAACGAACCAAGAGATGTCTCTGACACGTGCAGCCGCTCTCTCTTCTGATGTGAGAGCCCAACGAACCCATGCCGCACACACGGCAAACAAAATCGACCCAAGGAGTCTTGCCCCCGCGGTTTGGTTGCGCCTGCTGTCTCTCTTTGCTTGCCACTTTTCCAACAGTCTTGCATCGATGCTCAGCTTCTCAACCTGGAAAACACGAAGGGTGAGCAAATGGGCGTTTCTTTCTCAAAAGTAGCATCGACCGCGCTACTGTAGCCAACTGACCAACGGTACGACATGAGGTGCAGACTCCTGTTTTTTCAGCCAGAAACGTTCTGAGAAGGACCCAGTCGCGGGCCATGCCTATGCAATTTCGGGGTCAGCAGGTACCAATCTTTGTTGGGTCGTGAATGAACGAGCCAGTGATGATAGGATCACAGCCACACCCGGGGGCTGTGACGCCCTCACACCCCAACCTGCCCGGCTTTTCACCCGCAACTGTTGTAGGAGAAGGGGTAAGGGGGGATCATGCCATGATTTCCTGCCCAATGATCGAACAGTTGTTTGTTTGCCAGTACAAGCGTGGTCGACTCGGGTGAAAGCAACAGGGTTAGCTGCTTGTTATTGTCCCCGAAGCCCTCCTAGTGCCCTCTCTGCTGCATCGCAATCGCCGACTTCGCCACGAAAAACGAATGTGGCACACTTGTAGAGGGTTCTCAAGCACCCCGGAGACAAGGTGTCACTAAGGGCGCTCATGACGGCGAAGGATGAGTCAGGCGTTCACGGAACAAGAATGTTTCTGTCATGATCTGTCCCCGTGCGCAAAAATTCTTCCAATACAATTAAAGACACGTATGACTCAACAGCAGAAAACATACATCCCAATACCGCACTAGATTGTGCTTGCCAATAGATAAAGCTGCTGGACTGCCCTCTAAAGCCACCGCTTTCGTCGGGTGGCAAGCCTCTTCGGCTGTGACCTGTTTCAAAACAGTCTTCCAACAGGTTTGAGTCTCTCGCAACATGATGTGTTGTTTCTTCAACACGCAGCTGCTATTTTTCCCGCACAGTTCAACGCGGAAAGAGTTTGATTCTGCGTGTGGTTTTGTACGTCGCGAGCGACAGTTTTGTCTCTTGATGGAATCGAGTCGCAGCCAAATCACCTGCCACTCGATGAAAACAGTGGCGTTGGAGGTCGGCCCTGAAAGTTTTACCATCAGACGTTCATTATCAAGTGTGGGGTCGGGCGAGTGTCGTCATCTGGTTGGGCCAAACATCTCCTTTTCTCAATGATTTGAAGTGTGTTGGAAGGAAGGATTCCTACGCACGTTCGGGGACAAACCACGACAGACACATGTTTTGGTGAGCGCCTGACAGAACGCTCGTGGCGACGCCTTGCCTCTGGGGTGCTTGAGATCCCTCTACAAGCGTTCCACGTTCGTCTTTCACGGTGGGGTCCGCGATTGCGATATTGCAGAGGACGATACAGAGGGGCCCCCAGGACCCCAAGAGCACCCTTGGACGCCTCGAAAATCGGCAACTTGCTGCTTTCAACCGAGCTGACCACGGTTCTGCCGGCAAACAACCAGCCTAGCGACAAATTGGGCAGGAACACATGGAACGACCCCCCCGCACCCCTTCTATAACAGTTGTGAATGGAAAGTAGGGCAGAAGGGGCGGAGGAGACCGCATTGCACACAGTCGCGGGCAATAATGTGGTGCTGGTTGGGCCCACATGTGCTGTCTGAGTTGTTAACAAAAGAGGCCAATAATTGTTTTGTGAACACACAGCAGTGGCATCCCCTACGACTTGACTCGGTTTCGGCACTTTTCTGCCTGAAAAAACAGCAGTAGGTGGCCCGCTATAGTGCAGGTTCCCCGTAAAGTGCAGGAAAAACATCTGGACACAGACGGCGCCCTCAATAGTGGAGGTCCTGCACTATTGAGGGTGGACCCTCTATAGTGCAGGTTGGGCACCATGGCGCCCCGCAATAGGGCAGGTTGGACACGCACACAGAGTTCGTTTTGGAGTGCTTCCACCATCCCCGCCTTGCTTTCATCACCATCACTCTCATCGTCATGTTTACAGCTATTTTTCGGCAGTTCTTCTCTAGCCCTGCGTCGTTGGTTGCTGTGGAGAAATCTGAGATGACTTTCTCCCAAGAACCAACGAGCAGGGCTAGAGAAGAACTGCCGAAAAACAACTGTAAACACGACGATGACAGTGATGGTGATGAAAACAAGGACGATGATGGTGAAAGCATTCCAAAACGAACTCCAGTTTTCTTCTGTTGCTACCGTTTCTGTCTTTCATCCGGAGAATAGCTTAGCTTCCCCCATGCCGCCCGCCCAAGGGGTCCCAGCTAATGGTATTTCGTGTTTTCAACCGCACTGAGACTGACGTCTCTTCATTGGTCAGCCGGTTAGCGCGGTCGATGCTAGTAATATAGACAGACACACATGCACACACATGAGACAGCGGGCAGACGCAACACAGCAATGAGGGTACACGTGCTGCTGCAGACCCGAAGAGCTCTACGCATTTGAAGGGTTGGTTCGTGCGACAGTTCAGGATGTGCAATACAGTACGCGAGTGCTGAAGCAGGAAGAACATAACGGAGCCACATGCAAAATATTTTTTCTACAACATCTCTGGTGACGGGAGAACCACACGTGTCGCAAGAAAGACTGCCCACGCCCACGCTAGACCTTCACTAAACTCGATCGATTTCGTACTCTGTTAGCCCCGCAAAGCGTGAGCGCCACACCATGAAATCAAACATCTCCTCAACAGCGCAGGTCCTGCACTATTTTAAAACCTCAATAGTGCCGAAGCTTCACTATTGAGGCGCACTATGCCCGCTATAGTGCAGGTAAAATCTCTGGACGCACCCCTGCACAATAGCGGGCCCAGTGCAAACGAGTAGAAAAGTCATCGCATTGGGGCATCCGGGGAAGGTTGGACGAGGGGCCCAGCTCCTAAATCAGCAAGGGTTTATTTACTCGGTCATGTTTTTTTAGGCGGACAGGTTTTCAGCAGTAATGCCATTTGGCGGTAATTGTTTTGGCGGTAAGCGGTAATGCGTTTTCGGCGGTAACGCCATACGGCGGTATTTGTTTTGGCGCAAGGTGGTGACACGTTTTTCGGCGGCAACGACTTGGGCGAAGGCCGTAAAACCAAAAATGGGCGGTAATTTTTCGGCGGTAACGACTTAAGCGGAGGCGGTAAACCCAAGAAACGGCGGTAAAACGGCGGATTATCTGGATCGCCCACCACGGCGGTAATTTGACGGCGGTAATGAGTACCATTGCCATATACATGTGGCCACAACTTCAAGCGAAACCAAACAAGGCCTTAAGTAAGTTTTATGCCGAGTTACGGCGTCCGAACAGACAGATGGCACACCTCCTTTCCGAAAATTGACCATGTATTTTCATAATTGTTTTGTCGTATTCACAAGTGGCCTTCACATTTTATTTACAGTCAGCACGACATAAAAAATAAAAACATAACAAACGTAAAAGAAACGAACCCGAACCAAACTCCAGACCCGAAGAACAGATGAAACAAAATCTAATGTTCGAAAAATCAAGAAAAATGAAAAATATGTTCGGAAAAAAGAACAAGCAAGTCCACGTGCGGATTCGAACTCGTGGCGCTGAGTGATACACCATGGCGGCCGAGGCTAAGACTCTGGTCACTCGACCATCGATGGGCGGTAACGTAGCTATACGACGGTAATTTTTCGGCGGTAACGCCATACGGCGGTATTTGTTTTGGCGGTAGGCGGTAACGCATTTTTCGGCGGTAACGACTTTGACGGAAGCGGTACTAGATAGGGGTGGGTAATGAGCCGCGGGTGACGACTCCATACCTTGCAGTAGTCTATCTGCGATGCTGTGCTATTATAGGTGCGAGACACTCTGCGTCCCAGGCAGCAACACAGCAACCCAGCACGCGCAATTCGAAACTCGGGATAATATTCCAACGGATCTTCCACGACCTTGTACCCGCTCCCGCTGGAAGTTTGTTGACAATATGTTACTCCAAATCAACAGCGGAGGAACATGTTCGCCTCGCAACAAACAGCAGTACCTCCGAGCTGGTACCTCCAACGATCGACACCTAACAGCAGCATCAGTGACATGGACACAAATGGACTTGCATAGCTTGCACAAATGCACTTGTAGTGCTGCTGCTTTGCTGTAATGGCAATGACTCCCATCAACGCCCCAACTGCCATCGGGATCGGGTTTTCGTCGCTTGGCAACGACGTTGTAAAACAAGCCAATTCACTTCGTGAACTCGGCAACCAGGATACCGTATGTTTTTTTTTTCCCTGTTTTTTTTTAGCGGTAACTATAATGGTGGTCGAGTGGATCATGTTGTGCAGGGTCGAGAACCCTCACTCCGCGCAAGGGGGATGATCGCACCACGCCGTGTTAAAATGGTCAAGCACCCTCGAGGCAGTCACACAGTGCTTACAACTGTCTCTGGAAGTGAAAGCACCAGAAAATTAATTAAGTCACACGCAGCTGTGATCCGTACGCGAGGAAGTAAGCACAAGATGCCGAACACCCTTAGCAGGATGCAGCGCACCCTTCATGCGACTCGCCGAATATCTCACGGCGCTTCGCGCTTGGTGATGTGAGAGCCTGGTCCGGTGAGAACCCGGCGTGCAGCGTCCCGGCTTTGTAGGGATGCGAGGTCAAAGGTCTGACGACTACGGCATGCACGACTTTGAGTACACCCCCACATCTCTCCTAGTGCATGCATGCGGGGAAAACGCGATGGATGGTGCTGCAAAAACGCTCTATGCTTTTTTGCCCCTTGAACAGCAGCACCAGCAGTTTAGTTTCCGGGCGACTCCCCCTGACATACAAAAGTGACAGGGAAAACAAAGGTATCCGCCACGATCTGTGTCTATGCTCGGTCTTTTGTGGAGATTAACACCGACGAGGATGCTGTAGTACGCTCAGAAACGGGAGCGTTTGGCACAGCCCGCAAAGAAAAAAAACGCCGAAGTCTGTCTCTCTGCTAGGATCACCAGAGTTCCTTCGTAGGTTTTTTGCCCCAGGCACAAAGGCTTCGTTTTCCGATGATCCCTCTCCCCACACGCCAAAGCAACAGCAGTGGCGATGACATCCGCCACGAGCTGTGTGTGTGGCTCCCTTCCCTCGTCAATGCGGTCTTGCCCCCCCAGCGGTGTTGCGTGTTTATTTAGCTTACTGAGTGCTTCCTCCGTGTCCCCCAGGTTGGGAACCGAGCAACTGCGTGTGTGTGTGTACAGATCTCCGCTTTTGCGTTCCTTTACCTCTCGTCGAACTCCCGGGGACGTTTCGATGAAATTGGTAGCAAATGCGTGTCAAGCACGGCCATCTGTTGTCAGAGCGCGATGAAACCGGTGTGACCGAGAGTGCTCTAATGAGATTCCTCCACACAACCCAGCACATCGTGAATCGGTGCTCTATAGACCTCGTTCTCGTCAAATAAAGGATAGTATTTTTACGTACGATTCCCCGGGTTTTTTTGCGGAGGGGTCGCTCTACAGCGGGATGGTTGAAAAAGCCTGATATTTAGAGCCTTTTTTCCCCTCCTGGGGATGGGAGGAAAAGATGTCACGCTTCGCGCTCCGCGGCTCATTTAAACAAAAAAAAGGCGGTAATATTTCGGCGGTAACGCCATACGGCGGTAATTGTCTTGGCGGTAGGCGGTAACGCGTTTTTCGGGGGTAACGACTTTGGTGGAGGCGGTAAATCCAAAAAACGGCGGTAAAACGGCGGATTACCAGGACCGCCCACCACGGCGGTAATTTGACGGCGGTAATATTACCGAGTAAACCCTTGTGAACTAGCATAGGAAAAGTATGTGCGAGACAAGAAGCCTCAACGTGTGCATGTAGCCTTCCTGCTGCGTGTGTGTCGCCTGTGTGTCTTGCGATGCGGAGCCGACCGTGCAAACCGATGACCAACGAAAACGCGTGTGTGTGTGTATGTCCAGCACCAACGTACATCGTTGGATCGTGGCACCAACGATACCCCTAGAGACGCAAGTCTTGAAGGTTGATTTCGACGTTGTACCCACCTGTGGCGGCGGCGCTTCAGCGGTAACGGTTGGCTTTGATCGCCGTGTCGTCTTGAGGCGCTTGAGACTGTTCTTCAGCTGCGACCCTGCCTTCCGCCTAAAAGGCGTGCAGGTTCCATGGGATAACGACATGGTCTTGCCATTGGGGCACCAGGCCCCACCGCCGGTGGGCTCGTCGCTGAGTTTGGAGGCGGGCTCCCCGCCTCCAAGCTCCTCGTCAACTGTCCAACCTTGTCGGCGGTAAAACCGTTCGAAACGAGGGAAGAGCCACTCCTTGTAGAATCCCTTGTCCTCCACGATCCTCCGTCGGTGACAGTTACCCTCGTCCGTGCGAATGCATTTCGCGGTTTGCTTCAGGCAGTACAAAAACATCCCGGCCATCTTGCGCACCTGACAAGGGCAGCGGCGAAACGATACGTTGGTTGCAAGGGACTGTTTGTAGCGCACCATCCATCATAGCAGGCGAAAAGCCGGAAGCACCCGCGATTGGCGATGAACGGGGGTCTCACCACGAAGTTCACCACAGACTTCGGAACAGGCGCTTTGGGGTCGACGTTGGCCACGATTGATGTTCTTGCCGAAGTTGGCGACAGCACTTCAACCTTTGCCCTGAACGCCCGCACGTCCATCCGAGCGTGTCTCCAACCCTTTACTTGTGGGACCTCCACCCCCTCTGGCACCTCCTCGACAGATCGCCCCTGAATGAGGACGCAGCCGGTTTCCAGAACCGAGTCGCAGCCGTAGGCGTGAAGCACACAGTCCCTGTTTGGTACGTGCATCCCAACGGAACGACGCACATGACCATCATCATCACGGTGCACATCGACGGGGGTCGTTTCTGCTGAAGCAATCAACGATTACGATTTTTTCGGCCTTCGACGTCGCCCCGCCAAACTACACACGACGCAAATAAGAAACAGCTGATACATGCTGGCACATCGGGCGTCCCGCATGCGGTTGTCTCGATGGTGTGCGTCTTCCTTTGATCGGACAGCGGCATGGCAAGCACAACGGAAGTCGTCTCGTGTGTTTGCACCTACAAGCTCGCCAGGCGAAAGCCGGCACGCGCAAGAACGGGTTGCTGGTCATCGAGAAGCTCCTTGTGCAATTCCCGATCCTACCTGCCTTGGACGACATCGTTGTTGCACAGCACAGATGCTACCGGTAGTTCCCACACGCGACACACCTGCCGACTCCTGGAATCGACATAGAGAAGTACACGAGCAGCTCCACAATGCCAAGGCGCTTGAGGAGCTTCGAGGTGTCGCAGAAGGGGACCCATTTGTTGAAAAGGTCCACCTCCCGGACAACCGCAAGCTGGTCCATGATCGTCACGTCGTCCATCGTGCCGTGCATTTTGATCCACAGCGACCCATCCGGGTCGACCTTGTAGAACGTTGTGATGCCCATAAATGTCTGGGCCACCAGCCAGTCTGGCTGCAGGGTGGGACAATGCGGGAAAATGATGAGCATCGAACGGCGGTTCGCGGGCATAGACAGTCCTTTCAGAGGCTGACTCAACTGCTGTTGACGCCGAAAAAATTACAGTTCATCCTGCTCGCCGCAACCCATTTAAAACAACACCAAGAGGATTTTCATTCGGTGTTGCTCCGGAGTTGAGACCATTTTTTTTTGTTCCTTTCTTTGGCTGTCTTTTTTTCTTTTCACCCCAAAAAAGACAATTGGCCAAAGGACCCCTACTTATGTGTCTTACCATGAAAAAAACGACAAAACAAGACAACCGTCTTTCAAGCCACGCCATCCTGTCTTTTATGCGAAACTTTTGGTGGGGCTGCCAAAATATGTTGTCGCTTTTTGGTCACAACCACATGACTCGTGCCAACAAACTTGAATCTTTCGATGGTTGATCGCCGTAAACTCTAACGGTGGTCACACGAGTTGTGTCATGTGGCTGGTACAGAGTTGGTAGCATCGGCGGTAGCCGTTGTTTTTTTCATTCGGCTGGACCAGGTGGACAACCTGATGTGTGCTGCAAACAAGCGGCAAACGAGCCGAGAGGGCCTGGACGCAGCAGCAGTGGGTCCTTTTTCGTGTACTGTCAAATTTTCGAACCCAACTACTGGGCGTCCTACAGCCTCCTGGTCTGTATCAACCATCACACAAGACGAACCATACGCGCAGCTCCTGGCGCATACGTTTGTCATCGCTGCTGCTTGAGTGGGTGGCGAGGGATCACCGGCAAACCAAAGTTGCGACAAGGGCAAGAGAGCAAAAAAAGCTGCTTGAGGACGCGGAGAGTCATATTCCCGGCTTGCCCACCACCGTCGCGCTCACAATTTCTGAGCGCCCTATAGCCTCCTGGTCTGTATCAGCCACCACAAAAGACGGGCCACACACACGGCTCGTGGCGCACACATACCTTTGGCATCGCTGTTGCTTGAGTGGGCGGCGAGGGATCACCAGTAAACCAAGTGGCGACACAAGCAAAAGAGCAAAATATAACTGGTTGCTGGCGCGGTGGGCTGTGTTGGGGCGTGCTGTTGACTTTCCCCACCTCAGTTCCCGTGCCTCTCATGTAATGCCCTGTGGTCGATCAGCCGCCACACAGCCGCCGCACAAGACGGGCTACACGCAGCTCGCGAGGGATAGCTTTACAGTTGCTGCTGCTTCATTCTGTGAGGAGATATCACCGAAAAACTACTTCGGTGGGAAGGTGCATGTATGTGTGAAGAAACAGCCGTTGAGGAGATTCTCTTTTTTAGGTCGATGACCGCTGTAGGATCGACCAGCACCCTAAGAAGCGGGTGGTCTTTTTTGTACAGCAGTGGATCCCTCGTTGGGTTGTGCTTTGGGGGATAACAGATCTCCGAAAACATTCCCTATAACAATGTCCTAAAGACACAAAACGAGTCAGCTCTTCGCATACTTCCTACCGCTGTTGCAGAAGGCCCATTGCTCGGTGATTCTTCGCACCAGACAATTTCTGAAATATTCGAACTATTGGCCTCGCCTGGGAACATGGGAACCTGGGAACGCGGGAACCGTTCCACGGCACTTACGCATTTTCCTCGAGTGGCTTACCAGCAGTCTACAAAGCCCGCAGAGAAGTTCACCCTTACCGATTGCCAATCGTCCAAAGAAGATTGGCACTCCGCAGCCCGTTGCCTGACTTCATCGAACAGAGGCTTGAGCTCCCCTCCCAGGAGAGCATGAGCTTCCTTCACCTCTTGCCTCCCTGCGTGCTGGCCGGAGGCCAGGTATCGGTCTACCGCGGCGAGCAAACGACCCGCGACCAGCAGCCGCGCTTGTTCGCGGCACAGCTGTACCTCGGCGATAAGCTATAACAGCAGCAGTGGCGGTAACGATCGAAAGGCGATTTACTCTGCGATGGGAGAAGGTCCCATTGCGGCGAACACGTGGAGCAGACAGCCGTAGACAGGCGTCTCCTCTACTGCAGTACATCATAGGTTCAATTCAATCATCACTTCGGTCAATGGCTGTTCCGTTGAAGGATTCCGATTTACCATTGACGATCGCAAAAGCCTGACCAACCACCGCATCCTTACCCGAAACATAGATGAAGGCACCTCGCATGCCAAGTTACATGTGGGTGCGAAGACAAGCAGATACAACTACTACAGTCCCTTTTTCGGCCGTAACAGTCGTGTACACACCAGAGTAGGTGGTAGCCTCCGCCAGATACGGCTCATGATGTAGTCTACAGCAGTAGGTCGGTTCCAAATCGCTCCCGGATCCAAACATACCTCCAATATGTTCCTGAAGGAGACGTTTGGAATGGTGTCTCTCCCCGCTTCTGCCATGCTGCTGCGTGCGTATCTACTTGCTCACATTGGTGTTGGCTCCGATACGACCCGGCGGCGCAGTTTGCGGCTCGTTCTTCGGAGAATGGGGGGGTCGCCTGCTGTACTATAATGCCTAGTGTCTTGTCCACTCTGCAGTCCCCCATCTGACCACTTGCAACTTGCAACGTGCAACCATACACGTGCTTTCGGGACTTGTGCGCCGAGCAGATCCGGGCGCCAGGGAGCTGCAGAGAGGGGGGGGAGATTCGGGATGGCTTCCAAGGGGTTGCTGCTGTTGGGTCTGCTGCTGTTTCCGTGCCACTCTTTCCGATTCAACCCCGGGACAACCGGTTGCACAGCTGGAGTCAGGCATGGAGGAAACCCCGCTTCAATGACGAAAGTGAGCTACGTGATGCAGGATGATGCCTCTCGTTGTTGAATAGAAGCGTCAATGCCATTCCTGACAGCAGAACGTGAGCAAACACGTTTTGCATTGAAGACCGGAAGTGATCAGATTCGTCTCGGAGACAAAAATTTTGTGTATGAGGTGTGGGCGGAGTTTGAAACGAGTAAAACGGTGTTGTCCCCCATTTTGAGAATGAAAACGTGCTCATGCAGTTTTGTTGTTGTTGTTGTTGTTGTTTGTCTTCACATTAAACCGTATGTCAGTTGCTAAATGCCAAAATCTAGCAAAAGACTCTCAGCCCGTGGTCACGAAGGTGCTAGAGCCATCTGAGGATCTAAAGAACACGCACACATCTGACGAGAAAAAGGTATGCAAGAGCCCGAGGAGGTACACCTAAAAATCCCTGCAGCACCGTATGCGTGCCCAAAAACTGAACTGCACGTCCGTCCCACCGTTCGACTACAGTAGCATCACCCCCTCCCTGTCCCACTCTATACCAAAACGGAAGATTGCCGACTACAGCATAATGCTGTCTGAAGTGCTGTCTGTACAAAAACACCATGGTAGGCATGGAACAAGCAGCTGGCGGGGCACAAAGCTGCTGTCTGAAGTGCTGTCAGAATGTGTCTGCGGCCGTACAGTGAAAAAGAACAACCAACCAAAGCCATCATAGCAGCAATTGACAATCACCCGAATCTCTCCCGATCGTCTGTGTAGGCACTGCAGTGAAAAATATCGACACTAGCTAAGAATCGTTCCACATTGAAGGGGTCTTCCACGATCAGGCACAAAACCAATGCACCCGGGTTAGCCACGCCATCTCTGACGGGTCTCTCTACAAAACCAGTGACGACGTCATCACATAGAACCAACACCGAAAATCAGGAAAAAAACGAGAAAAATTGGCAACACAGATCAGATATAAATGTTTGTCCGTGCGCCACGGGTCGATGTCGCCCGCATGCTCCGGTGCCGCTGCTCCGTCCGGCGCCGCTGTAGTCAGCCCGAGCATAACGCCACTCGACCTGCTCCGTCCGTACACGCTCTCGTTGCTGTCCTTCCCAGTCGGTTCCTCGCTTTCTCCCTCGTTGCACTCAAGGTTCTTGGTCTGAAAAATAAAAATTCTCGCGCCGAAGGGGTCAACCAGCCCAGTTCAGCTCGTCGCCACCTGCTCCCTCCTCCTTTGATGGCGAAGCCAGGTTACTGAGGCAATGCAGCGCCCTCTAGCCAACCTAGGGCCGTGTACATAGTTCCCGTCCACCTTCTGACGGTGTCTGCCTCCGCGCACAAAAAATGAGATGGGCATCGCTGCCTACGCCGACGGCCAGAGGCCCGCGCATCTACATTTTTTCGCCTGACCCCATCAGTGCCGACCCAACTACACCACCACGCGCATGCCTCGCGGCGGATATGCGCAGCAGCAAGAAGGTTTCGGTCATCCCTTGAGAGTGAGTCTAGCCCTGCTCGCCAGAAAGACCCCCCCCTTCGCTACAACCCATGTCTAAGCAAAAGCTTGTCGAGGAGCGAGGGGAAGAAGGGAGAGCAGTGGCAAATATCATCGATACAACCTACGGTAGCATACGTGCATACTGCATATTCCTACAAGATACAAGCTGCCTACAGGATACAAGCTGCTGTATGCTGCATGCGTAGGATGTGTAAGAACTCCCTGCACTGACGATTGATCCACACTAATTATATGACGGTAAATTTTCTTACACAGAACGAGTAAGATTAACGTTCCACGCACAACTCGCGAACTATTGGTACTTGTACGTAAGACACATGTTTCGAAAGACGATTACCTGCCTCTACGCATGACTGCAATGATCTCAACGCTGCGGACACACCGACCTCCCCCAGACAGCACGAGGGATGTACCACGTATCGTATCGAGTACTTATAGTGGCATATGTTTGATCTGGCACTGCTGCCGCCGCTGTGTACCTTGAAAAAAAAAAAGTAAGAGCTATGACTCTTCTGCCCTGTCTCCGCAATTTTGGGCTCCACGTTGCAATTGCCCACCGTTCTGCAATCGAAGGCAAAGCACCGCAGGAGGGGTGGGTAGGAGGCCTCAGGAAGAGGAACCCTTGTGTGTGACCACATTCTCGAGGGTTGGAGATAACGGCACAGATGCTGTTTGCATTGATTTGAGTTGAAAATAAAAAATATTTAGTCTACATGCCCCTACCTCTAGGAGGTGAGGACGATTGACACACGTCTGCCTCGGTTGATTCCATCGCACCGTTGCCCCCATCAAGCCCATCACTTTCAGAGTGACGCGAGTACATGATGTTTGTAATGAAATCATACCATAAGGTTTTAGAGAATCCTGTCATCCCGCAAGCTTCATGCCCATACCACCACAATCCACTCACTCGGTGGCATGGCGAAGGCGATCTTGTTGACGTGGTTCATCATCTTGATGTGACCACCCCCCCCCCCCCCCCCCCCCCCCCCCCCCCCCCCCCCCCCC